CAACACCAGAGGTGACGGCCAACGAAGAAACAAGTATTGAGGAGGAAGAATTAAATGGAGCATTAAGGAAATTAAAAAAAAAAAAACACAAAATCACCTAGTGAGGACAGAATACCGAACTAACTCCTATAGGAAAGGAGGACCAGATCTGACCAAACAACTACTAAATTTACAGAGGAATTAATTTATTAAACACATTAAAATTAACAACCAAAGTGATAACAAATAAACTGAATGAAATTATAACACTAGCAGAAGAACAAGGTTTTAGGTCGGGAAGAACCTACACCGACGCTATATTTGTAATAAGGCAAGTGCAAAAGAAATTATTAAAATACAACAAAACCGCATATATCCGTTTCGTGGACATTAAGACGGCATTTGACCTGGTCCAATTAAAGGACGTTATCCACTTATTGTGCGCTTTAGGAATAGTCAAAACGATCGAAAATATCTACTATTGTTCAACCTGATTATGGATGAAATAATAAAAAAGTAAGAACTAAAAAAGGATACCAAATGGGAGAAAACCAACTTAAAATAATCTGCTAAGCAAACGACGCACTACTACTCTCAAAGTGAAGATGATTTACAACGCCTGCTGCGCCAATTTAATGCAAACAAAATGCGTTGGTAACAGCAAGATGTAAATTGGAGCTGGAAGGTCAGATAATAGAACAAGTGATGGAGTTTAAATATCTAGGCATCACATTATCTAGCTACGGAAAGCTCGAAACCGAAGTGGAAGATCAAGTGAATAGAGCAAACAGAGCCGCAGATATGCAAGGTGGAGAACATCAAGGACTGGGTAAGAAATAGAAGACTAGAATGGAACGATCATATAAGCCGAATGACAACAAATAGAGTAGTAAAGACGGCAAGACACGGTTCTCCAACAGGAAGATGATCAGTAGCAAGACCACGAAAACGAAGGAATGAAAACTTACTGGAGATACATTGAAAAACAGACAGAATCATGTCTACATAAAAAGCAGAAGAAGAAGCTTAGAATGTAGAAGTAGATACTATTGTTACTTTTAAGGTAGAAGGTACACTGCGAGGACTATCTAGTGCGTATCTTTCTCGCCTGTTTCTCAATTATTATACGCATTCCTGTTCTACTCAGTAAGTTTAGCATATCTAGAAGCTTTATGTTATCTAAATCCACTCCTATCTTACGTACTCCCGGATGAATGGAGTTACTTAGAGCACGGCGGGTAGTTTGAGCATATCTATTAGTCATTTCACACCATAAGCCACACCTACTACTTTCAATGTCGTCAGATGATTTCTCAGTTTAAAATGTACGTATATATTATTTTCTTATTAAGAAATAGTCTATTTGATAACGAGTGTACATCATGTAATTCATTAGGGAGCAATATTTTGTGTTTTGTAAAAATTATAGAATTAAAATATTTACATACATTAATGAAACTCCCTGTATATATTTTGTTGTCTTTGTGCACCTTTTTTTCAATTAATTATTTCATCGCAAACATAAACATATAAACATCTTGACCGGTCTATTGTGAAATACCAATGGTGCACAGATTTGTACAAATAAAAATCGGTTCATAAGCTAGCTTTAATTACAAATATGTCATTAATAATTGAAGTTTGTTTCTAATTACGCTGTCAAAAAAAGTGCCCGAAAACATGAATTCTTTAAATACGGATTTAAGTGGTAAATTTTTATTTAGTTTTTGTACTAGTATAGTATTATGACTGCTACAGTTAATTGAAGACGTGAGAATTAAAAGTTGTTACAAACAACAAATTTTTATATCGGTGCAAAAAGCCTCTATCAAAAAATATTAAAATTGGTTATTGCCAGTTTGTTGTAACTTTATAATTATCAACACCGAGTGGATAAGTAGTCAGATAAGATTTATATGCTTTTTCAATATTGTTGACAATATTAAAAAAAAATGGTATATGTATCTATTTTTCATGCCAAAGTATGTAGTATGAAAATATATATGTCTATGATAAACCCATTTGTTGATGTGTTTATCGTAGACATGTTCTCATGGTTCTTTACTTTTTCTTTATAAGCTATTTTGTTTTTATCCTAAAAAATATAAAACTGATAAGATTGAGCTGTACGTTTATGTAATTTTTGTTTGCAAGGGTTTGTCTTTTCTACGGCTATATCAACACTTTTTAGTATAATTTAATTGAAATAATGATTGGTTAACCTTCCAGTAGATGCAGTTTAATTTTGTGTATCAGTAGTCGCGCACGGTCTACTACACCGGTCATAAAAATAGACCTTTGGATAGATAATTTCAATAAAATAATCAAGACGATCAAGATAAAAAAATAGGAGATGGCAAAAAACATAATAAAATTACGCCGTAATATTGATACAGTCATTGCAAATTGGATTTACATGTTCCAAAGAAAGATACTTTTTACAAATCGAGTAAAAATATTTCGTTTTTCAATTCTTTTTCCATCGACAGTCACCACACCTCCCAATTGCTCCCGGAGTTCTTTGAACTGACACGACTGATCTCTTCATCCAAATGACAGATCTCCTTTAGTCGAATCCTTACTGTCTTGGGTATATAGACATTGTGGCTACGATTCTTTTGGCGGTTGTACATAACTCTAAATTCTAAATTTGTCAAAACTGCTGGTCGGGTCTCTGTAGAATTTGGAATTTTACAATTATTGTAAATAACAAAGGAATTTATTGCTTTAAGATTTAAAAGGCTGTACAAAACAACCACAGGCCATCTTCTACTAAAACGTGCCACATCATATTGTGCGCATAATTTATCTACGGTAACAATACCGCGTTTTGTGCTGTTATATGCTAATAAGATTTCCGGTTTTCCAGTTGCAGGATCAACGACGTCCCCATGGTGCATAGTGGAATATTTTTGGAAGTGTGGAACGTTTTTTTTTTTTTGTTTATATGATACTAGTGTTCCTCTTGAACCAAGTCCAAATCTACCAGATCCAATAGGTCGTCCTTGATTGTTTTCTGTCTCCTATTTATTTCTTCTATTTACTTTTATTGTTCCCAAGAGAGTTAAACCATTTTCCTTCAAGTTTATACCAATATCAACGCTGGTGTACCAATTGTCCGTGGTAACACTTCTCTTAGATCCGTATAGATGTTGACAGGTACGTTCCGCCTCTGCCTTGGTACTAGTGTCTAGATAGTATGGACCACCCACTTGGTTTTTGCCAACGTATACTTTCATGTTACTGGTATAAGATAACTTCGCATCAGACAGTGCAAATATTTTTATACTGTATCTATTGGGTTTGTTTTGTATGTACTGGCGGGACCAGCACTTTCCTTTAAAAGCCTCCAACTTTTCGTCCAGGGTTACGTATTGCGAATGAGAGAAACAAACAAAATACAAACAGTAAATTGTATTTTAAATTAATGTAAATTTACTGTTTGTATTTTGAGAACGATTTCCGAAGTGGAAATTGAAACTTCAATAAACGTATTTTTATCTTTAATTGTGGCTTATTCCCAGTTAAATAGTAATCAATTTAAAATGCCACAAGAAAATAGCTTCAGAACAATATCTGTAATTCTGGTTCGTTTCATAGGACTTCGTTTCTCATCTTGTCTTTTATCGTTACTCCTATCATTTAACGCTCCATCCTCCTTTGTGCTATTTTTAGTTTTGAGGTATTGTTTTTTGTTAGGGACAGTGTTTTCGTTTGAGATTAATTGGTATGTTACCGTCTCTAAATAGAGCTCGACGCTTTATATGCTGCTCATCCATGTACTATTTTTCTTGATCTGCTGCTCATCTATGTGCTATTTTTCTAATTTCCATTCATTTCGGTTGTTCCATTGTCGTTCTCTTGTTCAAAGTTCTTTGAAGCTCATTAATTTACTTACTCCTTTCATCCATGTTTTCTTCGGTCTTCCTCTCTTCTGTCTTCCTGTAGTTGTCCATGCGAGTACTTGTTTTCTATTCACTATACATTCTCATACCATACGAGATGCTTTTGTTGAATGTCATCCTTTATTGTACCTTCTATTCCTTTCTTCATTTCTTGTCCTTTCCCTTCCCGAAATACTCAGCGTTCGCCTTATTACATCCCTTACTATGACTTTTATCTTTTTTCTGTGTCTCTCTGGTAATCGCCACGTATCACATCCGTATAATAGCTTACTTTTTACCAGAGTTTTTTCTCTTCTTTGTTACATTCTCATTCCAGAGAGTTTCGTTAAGGCATCCTATAGCCTTTCTAGCTTGTATTATTCTGGTGTTAATTTCTTAATCATGTATTCTTTCTCGATTGAATATTGTTCCTAGATACTTGTATGTCATCAACAGTCCTTATCTCCTTGTTGTTATCTAGTATAAGATTTGCTGTGCCTGTTCTGTTAAGATATTTGTTTCTTTTTTCGTTATTAAGTATTAGTCCCCATATCCGATATTCTTCAGAAAACTTTCTTGTTATATATTCCATATCTTACTTATCGTTTGCTGTCACGTTGCAGTGGTGAAAAAATGCAGCAACCTTGACACAGCCCTTTCCACCCCTAGTTTTGTAAGGCACTTATGAGTGTAATTTATATTGGCATCTCGAAGTACTTCTTACAGTTGTGTTATTGACACTATATTGTAGACCTTTTGCACATCAACAACAGTTATATATGTACTTCTTGATTTTTACTGTTTTATTTTCTATGATCTGCTTCAAATAAAACACATAGTCAGTACAGTTAGTTTTTCTCTTTTACTATGTGCATTCGTGGTATAACTCATCTAGTTGGATGGATATACAGTTGCGCCATCTAGAATTACTTCTAGATACTTGATATGTCTAGTTCAGACACCAAATGGTGCGATATATCATGAATTAACATTCAGTAAAACCACTGTTTAAACCAAAATGCTTTTTTATGGCATTTTCATCCTCAGGTTCTGAATTTTTATTAATTTCATACATTTCTTCAATTATCTTTTAAACTCCCGTCAACAAACTATATAATCGTTAAATATGTTTTAAAGGTACAAAGAAAAAGGAAGTTACAACACCATCCAGTGGTCAAGATTCCAGTTCGGACGTTCCTAAAAAGAAACGAGGACGTCTGGATCCATCAGTTGAAGCTGAAGAACAATATCAAAGCAAAGTCGAAGTGAAAGTAAAGATTCCGGATGAATTAAAGCCGTGGTTAGTTGACGACTGGGACGTCATTACGAGGCAAAGGAAATTATTCAATTTACCAGCTAAGAATAGTGTCGATCAAATTTTGGAAAATTATTTAACTTATAAGAAATCGACGAAATCGAATAATTCGAGTAAGGAGTCTGCTACAATTGAAATTATCAAAGGTGAGTAAAGCGTTGTATGGATTACGTCTAATTTGATATGTAATGTTTTTGATATTTTATGTACATACACAACAATAATGTAATATCTTAGGTGATCGATAGTGGCTTTCTTGTGGGGAGATACACATGGCTTTCTTGTGGGGTATGTTATAAATAATCTTACAGGTGACATTAACTCTTTGCATCCTCTACCAATATATCCTGATCAAGATAAGAAATGGGCTCCTGACGTCATCTGTCACAATTGTGAGGAAGTGATTGATATAAAGAAAAAACCAAAGTGTGTGCTATTCGGAATGCCCCTAGGAAGACGGGTCTTTCTTGATTTCTTCTTGTATTTATCACCTCACTCGTCTCCTGGTCTCTCATATTTTGTCTTTAGTATGTTCATAAGGTTATTGTGTGACACGTCATATTCTTTGTTATATCTATCTGCCAAACAATTTGTCTGTTATCTAGTGTTGGTGTGTGTATTGCCTTCATTTGATGCATTTTACTTTTTATCTAACCCAATTTAGATAAGTTCTGTCGTCTGCGACCTAGTCATCCCATAATTATCATTATCCCTACAATTATCCGTATGCGATGTTTACTTCACTAATTAAATATCTATGGAGCCTTGATTCGTACCGATATTAAGACTTTTCACAAAGAAGTCTTTTCTAATTATCGACTTCGTTTTCTGGGTTTAAACCGTATCTTGTTTAGAAGACCTATTCATTCTTTCATTTCTTGACATTTTCCTTCAGTTTAGCTTCTTTATGAACAGGAGAGAACACTGTAGGCTGTTTAGCGGTGGCCTAGATTTCTACAGTCGAAATAATACTGAGAGGCAACAACCCGTCAAGAAACAAGCAAAATTGTGTATGCAGGGTGGTCCTTAAGTAATTGTACAAACAGAAACCGTAGATTCTGCACTTTAAAAAATTACGATTTAAGCCAACTTGCTTTAATAATATGTTGATATTAAGAAAGATACACGGTGTTAAAGGGGAAATTTAAAATTTTATTTTTTTCTATAACTTTTACGTTTGTAAATATTTTTGGAAAAAAAATTACAATTGGATGCTTTTGAGTAATATAAACTATAATTTTTTACATACTTTACTGTAACTGATAGAGGGCGCCACATATACCACATGTGTGGCATAAATTTGCGCTTAACTTTTTTGCTCTTTAAGTTAGCTCTATTTGTGTTAAAAAATATTAAAGATAAATTATTTTTACAAAGAAAATGTATACTTGTTATAAACCTCAAAATTGAACCGTTTTCGAGAGAATCGCATTTTATAAGTCAGCTGCATCATAATTCTTCCTTGTGATATTTGTACGGTAAAGCACTGAATTCATGTAGATAAGCATAATTCATAGTTTATTCTTATTAAAACAACTCAAAGATGATAATGTAACATCACAAAATGCTTTGTTATAGCTGTTAAATGTCTTATTGGAGAAAAGATTCTTCATCTTCTTCCTTAGGTGCCGCGTCCGTATTCAGACGTTGGCCGTCATCATGTTTACAATTTCCCTTTTCTATCGCTTCTTAAGTTTCTATACTGGCGTTGTATTACTTTTTCTATATTGTAAAATGCTGAAAACCCAAAATATGTGACAACATACTTAAATACAACTGTGAGAGAATTCAGTGACAACATACTTAAATACAACTTTTCTGAACGTTGAATTGGTCGTTGTAATCATATTGCTTGACAATGTGGTGAGATATTGATCTTCTCGTGCCACTCCTAGCGGAGATTGAAAATCATCATGGCCACTGCGACTTTGTTAGCAGCGCGCCTGAAAAGTTCAATCGAACTACACCCGAACCATTCACGTAGATTACGAAGCCACGATATTTTTCTTCTTCCCACACTTCTTTTGCCCTTAATTTTGCCCTGCATGATGTTTCTTAAAAGTTCGTACTTTTCACCTCTCACAATGTGCCATAAGTATTCCATCTTTCTAGTTTTTATCTCATTTAGAATTTCGCATCTTTTGTCTAAAGTTTGGAGTACTTACATCTTGAAAGCTTCGATGTTTTTTATGGTCAACTGTTTTAGTGTCCAAGCCTCAACTCCATATAACAGGGTAGAAAAGACATAACACCGCAGCATTCGTATTCGTAACTTTATATTGATATCACGATTGCAAAAGAGTTTGCGCATTCTATTAAAGACTGATCTAGCGATTTCTATTCTACATCTAATCTCTTTCGTTTGATCAGTATCGTCTGTGATCCAAGCACCTAGATATTTATAACAGGGCACACGTTCAATCGTTGTATTGTCTATTACAAGATTAGCTCTGATGTTCTTTGATTTCGTGATTACTATAAATTTAGTTTTTTCAATTAATTTTCAAGCCGTAACTGTTACAGTATATATTGAGACTTTGAACGAGATGTTGTAGTTCTACTAGCGTTCCCGTTAGGAGAACTGTATCGTCAGCATACCTTATATTGTTGATCGTCTCACCATTTATTATCAGACCAAGATCTTCTTCCTCGAGTGCTTGTTCACAGATAGCTTCACTATACAGATTAAATAAAAGTGGCGATAAGATACATCCCTGCCGGACTCCTCGACGGATTTGAATTTCTTCTGTTAGTCTGCCCTCAACCTTGACATTTGCTGTTTGATTCCAATATAGATTGCATATAATTCGAATATCTCGGCTGTCTATATTTTTCTTTATTAGAACTTGTCTTAGTGGTTCATGTTGTACTTTGTCAAAGGCCTTTTCGAAATCAATAAAGCAGGCGTAAATTTCTTGGTTCATGTCTAAGCATCTCTGTGAGAGAACGTTCATTGCAAACAGAGCCTCCCTTGTACCCAGCCCTTTTCTGAATCCCATCTGAGTGTTACTGATGTCTACGTCTAATTTCCTATAGATCCTATTATGGATTATTTTTAAGAACAGTTTTAGAGCATGACTCATCAAAGCTATCGTACGATATTCGTTGCATTCCTTTGTATTTGCCGTTTTTGGCAGTAGTATAAAGGTCGAACGGAGCCATTCCCTAGGTATTATTCCAGTTCTATATATTGTGTTAAATAGATCTAGGAGTATTTTAATAGATTCATCGTCCATAAGTTTGAGCAGTTCTACGGGAATTTCATCAGGACCGGGGGCCTTACCACTTTTTGCTGTTGATGCATATTCTATTTCTTCTCTGATTATATCAGGCCCTGTATCATCTGTATATTCGTTTGAGATTTCTTGTCTATCTTTGTCATCAAACAGTTGTGATATGTATTCTGTCCATCGGTTCATTTTTTGTTGTAAATCTGTTATAATTATACCATCTGTATCTTTGATCTGTCCTGTCTGTGTTGTTCTTCTCCTTCCTGTCATTTCTTTAATCTTTTTGTGTACATTAAAAAAGTCATATTTTCGCTCCAATTGTTTCAACTCCTGGCATTGCTCACTTAGCCATCTTTCTCTAGCTTCTCTTATTTTCTTTTTTATCAGTTTATCTGTTTCTTTGTATCTTATCGGATTATTTGTTTTGTGTACCCTTCTTTCACGCATCAACTGTAGTATTTCCTCATTCATCCATTCTTTATGTTTCCTTTCTTTCGGTGTTAAATTTTCTCTCCCTGCCAACATTACGGCATGTTTAATATTCTCCCATTTTTGGTCTATGTTATCAGTATTTCTATTCAGTTTCTCTATATTTTGTAAATTTTCTTTGATGTTCACTATTGTTTTCTCTTTTATATGTTGTTCATTCAGTCTTCTCACGTCAATTTGTTTCTGTATGTGTTTTTTAATGATCTTTAGTTTTATTCTTAATGTGACTACTACAGGATTGTGATCCGAGCCTATATCTGCTCCTGGGTAGGTTTTAGCTGAGAGTATAGAGTTGCGGAATCTTTGACTAACAAGGACAAAGTCAATTTGGTTTCTGACTACTCTACCTTTGGTGTCACTCGGAGATTTCCATGTGTACAGTCGTCTGTTAGGTAACTTGAAAAGAGTGTTAGCAACTACTAACTCCTCCGCTTGACAAAATTGTACCATACGGTCTCCTCGTTCGTTTCGTTCTCCTAATCCATAGTCACCCACATAACCGTCCACACATCCATGTCCAATTTTGGCATTAAAATCGCCCATTACTACTGTAGTATGATGTTTCTTCATTGATTTTAGAATTTGTTCCAGATCGTAATAGAAACTTTCAATTTCATCATCATCTTTATCAGCCGTAGGAGCATATACTTGTATAATATTTATAATTTGTTTATTTGACTGAAGTTGTAGTGTCATTATTCTATCAGAGAAGGGAGTAAAGCTTGTTACACAGTTACTGATTTTCTTTGATACCAAGACAGCGACACCGTAACGATGAGTTGAACTGATGGTGCCTGAATAATAAAGTGTTCCACTGTTATTCGTGCATTTTCCTGATCCTGGCCACTGTACATCACTTATACCTAAGACATCAATTTTAAGGTTTTCCATTTCAAGGGCTACATTATTTAATTTACCTGCTGCAAAGAGGCTTCTTACATTCCACGTCGCTATTCTTAATATCTTAAGGTGATTGATATTACTTACACAGGGATTTCGCTGGTTCACGACCTGAGAGGCCCTATGGTCTGTCTGTGGTTTTCCTCTCCTGTCGGATCTTGGGTTCCGAGGTCCATGATCAGTAACATGAGTGATTGATGTGACATTTGCCATCATGATTATACTAGGGAATCTTAAAGATCATTAATACAGTGGTTTCCCGTTGCCTTCTGTATCCTTACGCCGTTGACCATTCCTTGATTAATCCGCCTTCGAGACAGATTTCTCTATCTCAGGACAAAAGAGTGCCCTGCCACTTACCAACTCATCCGCCCGAAGCCGTTGGTAGGTAAGTGGGGGATTGCTTATACCGGCAATCGCTCGGTGGAATTGTCGCCATATCTGACTACCCTCACTTAGTTTAGCCTGCAGACCAATGCAGTTGCCCGGGGTGTGGCACGTGGAGCCATAAGTAAGAGTTAGTTGTC